ATCTGCCTCAAACAAAAATTGTATTGTTGGTTTCTTTTGATAAGAATTCCTGAAACATTTTTTGGTTTCTTCTAGGTAAATCTTCATTTAATTGATTATAAACTTCTGCATTCTAGTACCAGAGATTAAAATCTTCTAGTTATTTTTTAGATAAGGGAGTGGAAATGTATTTCTAACACAAGATATTTCTCATCCCCTATTGATAACTCCTTTTGCTCCTAAGACCCTTACAATATTTTTCTTCTCAATTTCTAGTTCCACTTCAGCTTGGGTGATTCAGTAATTTGCAAATCTTCCATCAGAATCTTGCGAAGGTTGAAAAATGTGCTAGGCTCCGTCTGCAGTTTGAGTTAACAGGCCTGGGGTGGGGCCAGATTATTTGCATTCTTAACAAATTCTCACATGATGCTGATACTATTGACCTCAGGATTTTTTGATACTGATGTAGATTCTCAATCTCATTAAATATGCCTTCTCTTAATCTTAGGAAGCTTATAGTAAGTTGGGAGTCCCAATTTATCTAGTCACCTACACCTTACAGCAAATGATGCATTAGATCTACTACAGTATTTACAGCATGCTGTACCCTAGTAGTAAAGTCTGAATGTCAAACGTTTAACGAGTTGGGTTAGCCTCAAGAATTTGAGCCTGAAAGAGACCTAGATTTTAGGACATCAGCCTCCCCACACCTGGAACTGGCATGCTTTTTTCCTCTCTAGAAAGCAGAGAAAAAGGCAGAAGAGGAAGGGCTACCCTGTTTCTCATCAAACGTGCAGCAGTGCTCTCAGCTGTTGGACCCATATGAAAATCTCACTTTGATTAACTTTACTGAACTTGTCCACAGGTGTACTTCCCTGCCAGAGAAGTGTGGTATATGACAACATACCTTTTAAACTATTATTGGTGCCACCTAGTGTTTGCTGTCTATATTCTATAACCTTTTAAATATCAGAGTATGTATCTACAACTTTTTTTCTACAACTTATTCTGTGATTTTAATTTTTGAATTGTCTCAAGAGACAAGTGACAGTGTAACCTAGTAAGTTTCAACATGTTCCTGGACCAGCAGTATCAGCATCATCTAAGAATGGATGCAATGCAAAATTGTGAGTTTGACTGTAAACCCTAAAATATTAATTTTTAAAATATATTTGGTACAGGGTCTCCTTATGCAGCTTGGACTTGTAGGGGTCCTCCTGTTTTCAGCCTCCCCAGTGCTGGGATTACAGGTGTCAGCAAGCCCAGTCTCAGCCAGCTCAGTGCGCCCGGGGCGGAGCATGTGGTGCCAGGGATCAAACCCCAGTCCCTGTGCTTGCCTACACAGGCACTTAGTCTGCTGGACTATCTCATCAGCCCTAAAATACTAAATTTGAAACAAGGCCCAAATTGTGTCTGAATAAGATGCTACTACTAAACATGTGAATGACAGTATTATAGTCTCTGTTGGAACTACATCATGTTTATACAAGCATACTGGCGTTGCTTCTCAGGAAAAAAATAAGATTTAAAAATATACAATACAAAAACTCAGACAAAATGAGGACAATGTACATTAGGTATACAGACCAATGAAAACAATTCTCCAAAAACTAATCCTACAGTTTATTTTGTTCAAGAAATGGGTGGACTTTCTGTACTACAAAGATACATTTCTAACAATGCAGTTTTTAATTTCTGACTTGGTTCTTAGGAGCATTGGGAAACAATTTAACATTTAGTTGAAGATGTTTCCAGTAGTAAAGTTAAGATTTTCTAGGTAACCTAGTGTTTGTAGCTTTTATGATAGAGCTCTCAGTTCTTCTTACAAAAGGATATAGACAAGCTTTCAAAGGGAGCAATTTTATGATTCAGGAGCAAGTCTAGTATGGGATCAGTAACTATCTAAGGGAAATTCCTATTCTAGGTTTCATCTTTCTCTCCTCGTACTACATAATAACACCCTATCTCATAAGGCTTCTGTTCTTTCCTCTGCTTGGACATGCTTTTCTCTGATAGCTGCATAGTTTTTGCCAATATTTCCTGCAATTTTGATTCAAGTTACCTTCTCAGTGGAGCTTTCTCTGACTAGGTTTCCCTTCACTACTGAGATCTCTTATTGTGCTTTGCTTCTCCATATTTACCTATCAGCGTCTAAAAAAGACACACTGGGGGCCGGGAACACAGCTCAGCAGCATGAGCACCTGCCTGGCAAGTGCAAGGTCTTGAGTTCGATCCCCAGTATCACCCCCCCAATGTATAATTATTATTTTTTAATCTTTTGGTATCTGAATTGGGCTTCCATACAGCAAAGATTTTGTTCTTGTCTGTTTTGCTTTTGAACATGTCCTCACCACATAGGAATTTGGCACATAAATGCTAACAACAGTTTGTTTATGCAGGTATGTGAAATCTTTTACAAATTCACAATGGACTATTTGCAACAGAATTTTCAACAGAGAATCAATTAGCTGTTTAGGCAGTAGAGCATTCAATGAATGAAATTACAGTGTATGGGGGACAGGATATGGGATCAGAAAACATACGGTGGAAAAATCAAGAAACACCATCTTCAAAGACAAACATTTCAAGTCTAAATATATAAAAGATACTCAAATAACTTAATCAATTTCATGTAAACAAACTATAAAATTCATTTGTATAAATAAATGGAAAACTTTGGATTTAGAGCTTTACACTGCAGCAGGGTCTTGAGGCTGAACTTTTAACCTATAAATCTCAAATTTTTCATCTGTAGATTAGACATACACTCCAGTTACCTAGTCTGTTTTAAGGATCAAATAAGATTAATCATTGAGTATATGTCCTATCAAAACCCATTAACATTGCTCAGTTCTTTCAAGTTTTCCTCTTCTTTCAGCTTTCTAAAAGTGAAAATGTCGTTACTTCTATGACCAAGACATGTACTGGAATTTAAACAGTCACATTTTACAGTAACCTGGCTCAAAAGAGGTTATTCTAATAAACTTCAGAAAGGTTTCAATAAAAAGGCAGTTACAGTAATGACAGAATTCACTACTTATTACCTTATTACAAAAATAGAATCTTGCACTTCTGGCTCTTATATTTTAACTTTAATTTATTACTTTGTAATCTGGTCATTTTGTAAGCATAGAATAGCAATGCAATACTCTTTATATGTCATTTAAAAAAGAGAAAGAGGACTTTGCTGTTTATATAGTAATTAACCCAGAGAAGCTTTTCAAAATGAAAGCCAAGAAATGGATACTACTGACAGACACATAATAAGAAAATAAATTACACTTCATTAAAAACCAAGTATTTTTGGACATCACTACTTCAATGTATATTGCCCATTGAAATTGCATACTGAAGACAGTTTACATATACATATTTCAAAACACAGAACATCACAGAAGACTAGTCACACATTGGTCAGTTTTCATCATTACAGTAAGAGTTTGCATTAGCAAGATAGGGTTAATGCATAATTAATAACCATTAATGGGGTTTGTTCTGTATTTGCATACAATGATAAAACAAAATCTACAAAGCTATTTATTGTCTTTTATGAGAAATATAGTCCTAGTTTTGACAGAATATGGCCTTTGGTTATTTTCTTGTGACAAAGTCACTGAGTGGTGGCAGTGACAGTTATGGTAGTATCAGATAGCCAGGAATAAACTTTGAGGCAAAAGAATAAGGTAGCAAAATGCCTTAGAAGATACCTATTTTACTTTTTCGTAAGAATATTCTTGGTAGTTCTATACTGCTTTTATTTGGTTTTCAGGTATCTGCTTATGAATGCTTTCTTTTTAATGTATGGCGAATAATAACAGTACCAGTAATTCTGTGAAAATGAAAAGTTAAAGTATTAGAAGTAAAAGAAAAGGGCAGAATTCAAAAATGTAGCTAGAAACAGGCTTATTATAAATCTTGACCAAAATAAAAAAAAAGGTTGTTCTTAACAGAGATGTTAGCAGATTGAACCCCTGAAAAATACACATAAATTGGAGAACGATCTAATATTAAATTTTTAAATCTTAAAGGTATTTTCTTATGTATTTTACTTATGTATATGTGAACCTGTTTCAGTTAAGAAAAAAGCATGGGTTTATTTTTAAAAACCACAAAATACTTATGAGAATGAAACCTTGTGTTACAAACCAACTATCTTGAAACTCATGCTTATCATTACTGTTTTACTCACTTACAAAAAAACTAGTTCTCAGATTCTGCATATAGACAGCTTTATGTAAAATATATAAACAGTTGTCCAAATTGGTATACTGATTGCATAAATATGGCAATTGAGATTGCATTTACAGATGTGCATGTACAATGTGCAAATATCACAATCTTACAGTTTCAAAAATTACTAAATTGGTATCCAAGTAAAGCAATTAGTGAAAAAATACCCATGCAGAATTTAAGTATCTCAGAACAAAATTTAAAATGTCTCCATTAAAAGTTCACACATTTAAAATAGTTTTATTCATTTTATTTGTATATGTCAAAATACATTTTTATTTCCAAAATAGTGGGTTTTGCAACCAGTTTCATGCAGAAACAAGGTCTGCTCAATACTACCAATAAAATCAATATAGCACAGTAGCTGTAAAGTTTTAGATACAAAGAATAAATAACCTAAATACAAAACACTAAAATATTAGAAACACGTATATCACCATTCTTCACAGGCATCCAAACTTCACAAATATAAGCCACGACATGCCTAACTGTTGTGCAACCCGAACACGTTGCAGTCACTCAAGCTGGTCAATTATTTGTACATTTTACCTCCACCTTACACCATGGAAACTCCCTATATTCAGACCCACCATTCATACAGTTAAAAAAAAAAAAAAAATCCCACAACTATCCTTGTACCTTTAAAATCAAGAATCCTGAGCTTGGTAGTAAGAGCATAACCTTATATCTTCATAAAACCAATCAAGAGAGAGGACTTAAAATCCTGCTTACCAAAACACCCTTGCCCCAATCCCAAAGTAATCTAAAATAGGCAGTAGAACACAATGACCTTTTAAAATGAAGGGGTACAAATTCACATTTAATATAGTATACAATACACTCAATAATACAATCAGCTACTATAAGCTTTATAATGTACAATTTTTCAAATGGCTGAACTGTTCAGTGGTTAAGGAGACAGTTATGTGCCAGAAAGATGTATCACTTTTTGCATGGTTTAGTGAAAATATAAAAGCTATTTGTCCAAATAAAAGCTTTCTTCACTGTGTACTTTGTTTTGCTTTTTTCCCCTTAAAAAAGCCCACTGAAATGTATAAAATGGTCTGAACATGATGGTGGTATCAAAGTCAATGCCTCTTCACATGGCAATAACAGTGCACTTAACGTTACCTCACGGTTAAGTCTGCAAATGATTTCATAGCATTACTTTGGCTAGCACAACAGTTTTAGACAGCACTCAGATAAATATAAGTGTGAAATGTGAGCAATTATTTTATGCAACTTTATGCTGAATACTATCAAATTAAAACTGAAAATAAAAAGCACTTTACAGTAGAAAATTTTTGTAAAGATAGGGCTCCACAAAATGTGTAACTTTTACAGTTTTTATGTCACATTGTTTCAGCAATTTTGTTTTTAACACTATCATGGAGTAGCCTATTTTCCATTAACAGACATATGAAATAAAATAGTCAAGCATGCCATGTGATGGTATAAAAATCAACACAATACACTTATTTATATATACAGCATCACTCAGTACCTGCTAAAATGAATGTGAAGATTACAGAATTTAACATCTTATACTACAATAAAAAACAAAAACAAAAAGTGACCAATGAAGGCAGAATAGGACTTAAAAGATCTAATCTAAGTTGACTTTAAAGCATTCATATAAGAAATAAATGCATATTGCACGAACAGTGAAAGCAAATATTCCACCAAGCAAATCAGTTCCAGGTGGGAGACAACACATTAGCCTAACACATGACAATAATCTCATAAAAGCAAGGTTTTTTCTGTGAGAAAGCTGTGAAAACGTAGAACTCTGCCACATGAAGAGTTAGAAGGAAAAATACAAACCCAAACTTAGATGTAAAGCAAAAAAAAAAAAAAAAAAAATTTAAATATTGAAAAACTGGTAATTGTGGCACATCAAAAAAATGTGAATAACTGTCTTCTGTGAGAGCTGAAAGTTTTTGTTGACACAAACGTATTTATGTACAACTAAGGCTTACTGGTTAAATATCTGAGGCATATCTGGCCTTGAACACTTTCTTTATATGCTGGAGCTGTAAACAAGTTTTCTCAGTCACTAAAAAAAAATCTTCTCAGCAGCTGCATTAACATGAAACAATGGTCTTGATTAAAATAAAAAATAAAAACAAAACAAAACAAAACAAAAAAAAAACAACAACCAAAAAACAAAAACAAAAACCCAGAAAATGAAACAAAACAAAATCCTAATAAGAGGGCATTTGGCAGGATATCCAAAAATGACAGTCTCCAAGGATTCTTTCTGGGCTTCCAGTGACTGCCAATAATGGTCCACTGGGCTACTAATATGTGCAATTCTGCTGCTTTTTAAATTCTTTTCTTCTTCTTTTTCTATTTGGAAAGTTTGCTTATAACTCTGATCAAGGCCCCATTTTCATCCTTTAGTCTCTGGTTGTCTGCTTTTAAATCTGGTAACATCTGTGAAAGTAAAAGCAGAAAAAAGTTTTACCTCAATAAAAAGATAAATTATTATTTTAAACAAATGTTATATTTCCACCACAAAACAAATGATCAAGCTTTGTCAGTTATATGTATTTCTAATGTCTAAAACATGTATTATGAAGATGAAAAAAACTCCTGATTTGTGAAGCTAATTAGTTTAAGAAATGATGAAATGAATGTTTATTCTCTCAAAGTTATCTGCTGTAATTGACTAAATCATCGATTTTATGACTCACAAGCACACCATATTAGAGCAGCCAAGAAAATGAAGCTGGCTTTGTTAGAACAGGCTTTTAAAGAGTTCTTTTAACAGTTCCCGTAACACCTAATCCAAAGCCTCCTGCTTTATACCAAACCTAAAACTGTAACACTACTGTTCCACAAGAAACAGCTTATCTAGGATGGTTTTGTGGGAGCTGGACTTGTTCTAAATTCCTTCAAGGATTCTTCTATAGAGCCTCAGTACTTAGTACAATAATCTAAAACAGGTACTCTTTTTTTTTTTTTTTTTTGGCAGAACCGGAGACAGAACTCAGGTCCTTGCGCTTGCCAGGGAAGCACTTATTCTACTGAGCCATCTCCCGGCCCTAACAGGTACTCTTTAATGGGAATTATTACTGTTACTAGAGTAGTATTCAATAATTTTTAAGTTAAGAGTAGTAAATGAGCACCTATGAAACCATTCCTGTATAAGACAAAAAGTATCTGAAGTACAGAAAACACACCTCATATATGCTGAAACAAAGCACTTTTCTGGTGTCTTATAGACAAATTGAAGGAGGGATAGAAATGTCACAAATTTTCGACTAAGGATGACTCAAACTGTATGTGCTCTACCAAGGTGACTTAGGACATGGAATACCTTACATCTGGAGCTTTAAATCATACTTTCCAAATGTTTAGCCCTTTTTCCTAGCTTTCAAAATGTACTAGATTGTCTAACTAGGTAAAAATAAAACATTTACTTTAAAAAGTAACTTAAGCTAAGTGTTTACAGAATATAATTCCATGTGGAACCAATTATTTGCATTAGAATATTTAAATGTAAAAATATAGTAATCTGAAATTTACATATGAAGATAGGTATAACAGAGAACTAAATGAATATAAACTAAGATGGTTTCCACTGGAAAACATTATTTTCCAAAACAGATAACATGGGCAAAATCTGCAGTTTTCAAAAATATATTAATTATGTAAAATAAACATTTGTTTCACTTTTTAGTAAATGACTAAACATGTGTCACATTTTAAACCCTGAAACATTTTCTTTGGTACGTATCTGGTAAAGTTTTGCTATACAGCTTGGATCTGTAGTGATCCTCCTGTCTCAGCCTCCTCAGTGCTGGGATTATAGGCATGAGCTACCATGCCCGGTTTCAGTGGCCAGCTCAGCACAGGGCTGGCATGGAGATCAAATCCATACCCTTGCGCTTGCCAGGCAGGCGCTTAGACCATGAGCTATCTCCCCAGGCTGAAACATTTATTATTATTATTATTATTATTATTATTATTATTATTTTATTTTTTTTTGTCAGAACTGGGGATTAAACTCAGGCTCTTGTGCTTGCCAGGGAAGCGCTTATTCCACTGAGCCATCTCTCCAGCCCCTTTTTTGTTTATTTATTATTATTATTATTTCTTTTTTGGCAGTACCAGGGATTGAACTCAGGACCTTGTTGAGACATTTTTAAATGCAATAAAATGTGCTCAAACTTTACAAAGCTCAGACATCTTTGAATTTTTAGATCATTCCCTAATTTTACTGTAGCTCATCAGTTACAATATATAATTAGTGACACTTTCTAACATTCTGAGAAGCCATGCATAATTAAAGTTATGTAATAAGCTTCAGACACAATGGCATTAATTGGTAAAAGTAAGCTCTTAACAAAAACACGCTCACTAACACAAAAACACCTGCCTGGCTCTACCAAGAAGAAATGACGAAACTATAAATTATAGGCTCACAGACTGCAGTTGCCTACAGAACCCTGAGCGCTTGGCTACCACTCTTGTCAAGGCCCTATTCTCAGTCAGGAGTCGTTCATTTAACTCTCTCAGAGTCTGAATTTGCTTTATTTGGTGCAGGTTCTGCAGGAATCAGAACATAAAGAAATAAGAATAAAAAATAAGAAAACAGTACAATAAAAATATAAAGGATCACAGGTAATGAATACAAAAAGAAAAAATTTAAGAATATTAAAAGAATATTCCAAGAGAATAAGAAAGATAAACAATGTATTCTTAAAATTCCATTTTAAATTAAACAATACATAATCAAAATCTAAAAGATTCGTCTCCAAAGGCACTCAGTAATACTTCTTTTAAAAATTTTTTGGTTACCAGGAATTGAATTCAAAATTTATCCTTGGCCCCCCCCATTCAATAATGTTTTAATCATAAACTAATTTCAATAAAATATCTGACTTTTGAAATTCTAAGTCTGATACAATTTCCAATGCAATAGTTCATTAACTTATAATATGCTAGGTACTTTATGTAAAGATGCTGCAGTAAACCATCAATTACCTCTGCTTATTTCTCCCCTGCAGTGTTCAACCTTCAAAACAAACAATTACAATCACAGGTAATGCAGAGCTTGATAGAGCGTACCTCTGCCTGTCCTTCCTTTAATGCTTATTTTCTAATAAAGAACATTTCATCTTTTATTATTCCCCTCTACTATTTACTCTCTGAGAACTACAGAAGTATATAAAACTGAAGAATGAATAAACCCCACATCTTAACAGTTACTATTACCTAATATCTTTGTACCTAAACATCAAAGCTGCTATATAAACTGATTATCAAATAATTAGGGCTTTAAATCCTCTTCTAGCTCACTAAAAGTGGGACTTAGTAAGAAAGAATAGAGTTAGATAATTCACAAACTGCATAAAGGCTCTGAGAACAATTTTAATAAATATCTATAATAGTATTACTATAAATTCATAAACAGTAATCTCTCAAGAAGAACATTAGATTACTTACTTTGAGCTCTTCTTCCATTTCAGATATTCTTCTTTCTAGAGCTCTTCGTTCCTAGATCAATTTAAGGTACTAATATTAATTAAATAATTACTACATTCTTAAATTTTTTTCTATATTGTGAAATAGTGCTATTTGAGAATTAAAGATAAAATCAGGAGCAGTGTAGAAAAAGATGTGATGCCAGTGATGTATAAAGAGCTCCCCCAAATTTGAGAGAATACACATAATGATCTTTATTACTTTTTTGCAAGCTCTCTCTTTAAAGCTTTGATTTCTCTGGCAAGATGATACATAACTTACTATATTTTAGTTTATGTAAAACTTAGTGACAGAGAAAAACAATATAAGACTGACTGAGGATTCAACAGAACAGAAAAAAAATTCACACAGATGCAATTATATTACAGTGAGAAGCAAAATAGCAAGAAGCAAACATGCCTAAAGTATGTGTACTTTACAATCTCAAAAGAAGCTAAGACAATTTTCTCCACCCACAATGTTTATTATCCATTATTCACCCAATTGACTTTATAGCTCTGTACAGAAGTTGACACTGTGTGTAGCATTAATGCAGTGAATCTAATGGAAAAGCGACTGCAGCATTTATTTTAAACTCATTTCAAAGAGTGACAGGCAAAGCCAACATACAATGTGTTATTGCAGTGTACTGTTTTATTCTCCCTTATAAGATAAGCACTGTAGGGTGTTATGCAAAAAGCAAGCAGCAGTAAATGGTGAGCTGTAAAACTGGTTAGGTCATACCGCCCAGAAGATACTGACTCTTGCCGGTCACCTTTCAGATACAAACCATGTACATTTAGTTTAATCACACTAGCACTATTTCCAAGACATTCTTTCCCAGATTAATAATTAATGTTAATATTTAGTAATGCACCACATTTACTGTAAATGTCAATGTTTTAGGGTATGTGATTTTTTAAAAAAGGAATTCTATTCACAGTCTTAAGTTATTCTAATATTCACATGCTTAAACACACAGATGAAAAGGTTGTTTCCTGTGTATACTGGTCTTTTGTTTAGTTAATCCTACAGTTACGGAAAATTCATGTGAACCACTTGGCTTCCCAAAATATGAATACATATTGTGTTGTATTTGATTCTTATAATTTTGTAAAATGTCAGAAGTACAGTATTTCTTCTGACTGAGATATAATCTAAATATGATTATATCTAGAGTCTTCCAAGATTTTTAACCTGGGAGTCTTCCAAGATTTTTAACTTGGTGGTACAGCAAGACAAGAATGCTATATTCTACTGCCTCTTCCTGTTGATTTGAAATTGAAAATTAGAAAACTACAGGCAATTTCTTGGATTGGCCATATAACATATATCATTAAAAGAAAGTTCGTATATGAACGTTGCTGAGCCTAGTGCCTGCCTGATACATACAGTGCTGAATAAATGTTAACAGTTTAAGCATGTGTGAATCACAAGGGTAAGTAATAAAATACCAGTGTAAAAAAAACAAACACCTGTAAAAAGATTGTAGATTTTATATTTTCTTGCTTTGCTACATAACATTTTTGTAATGAACATATTACTTTCACAAGAAAAATGAAATATTCTTAAAAATGTGATTTCTCAAATATAAATAATATTCTGACTAAATATATCTTGTTATCTGTCTTTCATACTGACCATTACAATGGGCAATACAAAAATGATTTCATTATTTCCACATATCTTGGAGATAAAATTTAGTAACAAGTATGTATTATAAAGTATAACAAAATACAACATAAACAATATAAAGTCAACATTAAATTTGATAAATTTACTATTTTAAGCAATTAATAATTATGTCAATTTAAAAAAATGATTCAACAATGATTTTTAAAAGTGGCTGCAATCAGAAATGGCAGCTATTTCAAGGCATAATTCAGTAAATTGTAACAGACATTAGTAGACTGTTTGGTTAAAAGGTAAACTGGTAACTTAAATAATCGGAAGAAAAATGTTTTCATAAAAACTTCTAGTGATTCATTCTCTGACCCAGACATCATAGCTACCAAGATCAATTTCTTTGGTCAAAAGCCCTGCAGTCTTGCCAGCATTCAGCTGTATTACAGATGCTTGTGAAGCACTTAGACTCTGGGATCATTAACACACTGCTCAGACTTGACTTGTGGATTTATTCCTAAGGCCATGGCCAAAGTTCTAAGCAGTAACAAGTAGAAATACAAGAATATATATCACAGTTAATAAAAAATTATGAAATGGCACAAAGATTTTCTTATAATCCATATTTTTATTTAAAATATCCTACTAAAGCTAAATATTTATGAGACTGACGCATAAATATTTATGAGTCTACTGTGCTAAGGAAGTAGCACAGTAGACTTTTTCCTGAGGCAGGGAAAAGCTAAATATTTAAACTCAAATTTCAAATATTTGATTCTTTTTTTTTTTGTTTTGGTACCAAGGATTGAACTCAGGATCTTACACTTGCCAAGCAAGTGTTTATGCCACTGAGCTATCTCCTTGGCCCTCAAATTTCAAATACTAAGTTTAAGCAGAATTTGAAAAGTTTATGTCTCCAGATATGAACATTTTATTTTAAAAAAGATGCATTTTAATTTTGAAAACAATTATTTGTGATAATATTTTAATAAATATATCTATAAAAAATCAAAGAGATGAGCATTTTAAAAGTATCAGCCCCACTGTCACAATATTTGTATTTTAGGAGTAAGGAAAGACAGCTTCAATAAACTAAAAGAATGATGTGAGCTGGGCTGCTAGTGTATACTTGCAACCCCAGAACTCTGTGAGGTGAGGCAGGAGGACAACAAACTCAGGGTGGCATGTGTGGGCTGGGGAATATAGCTCAGTGCAAAGGTCTTGGGTTCAATCCCTGCTTCCACTCCCCAAAAAGTAGTTTATTTTATTTAAGTTCATTTCATCCTTGAGAGATCCCAAAGTACTTTAAAAAGAAGCTAAAGTATAAAACATTCCTTAATGAATACTAATTTAAACTAATTATGAGCACTACCTATTAAAAAACCCAAAAAGCCAACTATTGGTTATAAGAGGGAAAATAATTACTCAGTCAGTAAGACGGATACTTACCCTTTTTTCCATTTCCAATAGCGACCTATCAGTAAATCTTTCTTGTCTCTGCAAAATAGCATGAAATGATAAAAAGGATGTAAGTATGATAAAAATAGGCACGCTAAACTTTTATAAGTGTTAAGTCTTCCTGCCAATGTTCACATTCTCTTCTGTGCCACCAGGAGTGGCTAATTTGAGCAGTCAGACTCCAGGACTCTGAATGAAATATGTTTATTACCACACTGAGTGATGTTGTATGGACAGAGTCAGACCACTGAACTACACTTTTTGGTCTCTTTCACAACTGTATCAGACTTGCTCACTTTGTCTAGGTATTTCTCTTCCAATCATCTATATTCTAGAATTGGTACGAGGGTTCACTTGTAATTTAATTTTTAATTTTTTTTGCATTAAGGACAGGGTCTACAGGGTCTCACTGCATAGAGTAATTCTGTTTTCAGCTTCCCAAGTGCTGGGATTACAGGCGCATGCCATCAGGCCCAGTCGTAATCACTGTCTCAGCACACCCTGGGGCGGGTCCACTATGTGCCCCCCCAGGGTTCACTTTTAAAATACCCTAGCTATGCCTCTTTCTTCTGGTGACTCAGCCCTCTCATTTGAAACACTATGAAACCAGCCTAAAAGGTAGTAAAATGCTGAGATGCACTGGAAATCTGGCTGTAGGGCCTGAAAATGAACTTGCCTTTTTTTTTTCCCCCCTGGAACTGGGGATTGAACTTAGGCCCTTGAAGTGTTTCCCCCATTTTTTTTCCCAACGGTTTCAAAATTTCAGGTCATATATTTGGATCTTTGATTCTACTGAGCTATCTCCCCAGCCTTATGGCCCTGAGTTTTAAGATACATGTTGCACCATATCCTACAGAGCGCTATATCTGGATTTTGAGCATAACTCCACTTTAAAAAGGTAGTATTTAGATCTTAATTACCCTGATCTTTGAAGGTATCACAGTATCTAATTTCAAATATACCACAGAACTATAAGGATAAAAAAAATTCCACAATGGCATAAAAATGAACCCTTAGGTAAATGACATACAATATAGGAATAAAATTCACACAACTACAGCCGTCTCTGATTCTAGACAAAAGGGGACAAATACATGTTGGAGGAAAATACTTACAGAAAAGGGTACTAAGAAAACTCGTTTTCTTTGTTTAAAAGATTAAACATTAAAAAGATGAAAGATAAAAAGATTTAAATTTAATCCCCATCTCTTATTCTGTAAAAAAATTTAAAAATGGATCAAAGATCCAAATACATGACCTAAAATTTTGAAACCATTGGAAGAAAATGGGGGAAACACTTCAAGATACAGGCACAGGCAGAACTCTAAAAAAAAAAAAAAAACTGGTAAGTGGGATTGCATTAAATTAAATAGCTTCTCCAAAGGCAATAAGTGATCAGTGCACAGAATGGGAGGAAATTTTTGCTAGCCACTCTTCTGCCAGAGAAGTAATATACGGAATACATAAAGAACTCAAGAAACATAATTCTGTTTTTTTGTGGAACCGGGGATTGAACTCAGGGCCTTGTGCTTGCCAGGGAAGCGCTTATTCTACTGAGCCATCTCCCCTTGCCTCAAGAAACCGAATTCTAAAAAACCAAATAGCCAGGCATGATGGTGCACACATGTAATCCCAGCCTTTGAAAGGCTGAGGTAGGAGGATTAATATGTGAGTTCGAGGTCAAGCTGGGCTGTTTGAGAATAACCCAGGCTACAAAGTGAGTTCAAGGTTGGCCTAAATGGCATAGTGAAACCTTGTCTCAAAAAGACAGTAAACAAAACAAAATGGTTACCCTCCTCAAATAATCCAATCGAGAATAAAACAATTCCCAAAAGAAGTACAAATGAGAAGTAAACATATGAAAACATCTTCAACACTTTTAGCCATCAGGGAAATGCAAATCAAACCACATTAAGATTCCATCTCATCTCAATCAGAATGGCTGTAACAAGAAATAAATAAAAAAAAAAAAAACAATAAATGCTGAAGAGACTATGGAGGGAAACAAAGCCTATATACAATACTGGGAATGTAAGTCAGTACAGACATTATAGAAATCTGTCTGGAGATTTTGCAAATAACTAAAAATAGAACTACAAATATAATTCAGTATTACCAACCCTTAGCATGTACCAGAAGGAATTAAAACGAACATAGTTCAGAAGTATATGAATATCAGTTTATTCTAGCATAATTAATAATAATCAGGACATGGAATCAACTTAAATGCTTGTCCATGGGTGTACGGACAAAGAAAATGTGGGATATACACACAGCAATATTATACAGCAATAAAGAACAAAATTATGTCATCTACAGGAAAATGGGTGGAACTGGAAGATCATCATGAAATGAGTCAGAAAAACTAGTTGTGCAAGCTTTCTCTGTGGAATCTAGAAAGAAAACAAGGAGGATGATGTGGAAGTGAAGGGTGGTGTATCAACTTGAACCGTTTTGGAATCTGCCTGGGTCACTGGTAAAACACACTGCTGTTTATGTCTTCATGGGTCACAGAGGTGTGACCTTGAGCATCTAAGCCTTTCTATAGCTCCTTGCTTTCTGGCACTGTTTGCCTGCTCTGCTTCCTATCCACAATGAAATAAGCAGCTCTGCTGGGCCATGTCCTTTTACCACAGCTTTTCTGCCTTGGAGCTTGCTGACCATGGACCGAATCCCCTGCACAGCACAGATGATTTGAAAAAGAAGAGAAAGGAAACTGGGAGAGGGGTATAAAGAAGGGTAATGGGGGACAGATATGATCAAAATATCAAAAATCATAATCACGAATATTAGAAAAAAGTACAAGAATCTTTAATATACAAATATAATCTGTGTAATATTTAAGACAAATGGTATATAAAGCATTTCTGGAGATCCTTTAACCAGAAAGCTGTCTTTTGTTTTTATTTTATTTATTTATTTTTTTTGGCAGAACTGGGGATTGAACTCAGGCCCTTGTGCTTGCCAAGGAAGCGCTTATTCTACTGAGCCATCTCCTCGGCCCCTTCTTTTGTTTGAAAAAGGAGGCTAAAGAGGAGATGTGCCTATTACCATCTCCTATAAGTGTCTCCTGGGGAAAGAGATGACAAACAATTCCTAAATCATTTGTACAAGGTTTTACGTTTCACTTTGCTACATTTATTATAGGGTGTCGCGCAGAAGGAAGTTATAGTAAAAGGAGTTAAAAATTATCCTCTTCAAATCACTTGAAGATCAGAAGTTTTCAAAACACATAAAAATTACCATAAAAAAATTTAGGACTGAGGATACAGCTCAGTAGGAAAGAACAACAGCACAGCATGTGAAAAAAGGAAAGAATAACAAAGGAGAAGAAGGAAGTAAGCAGGAAGGGAGAGAAGGAGGAAAAATCATCTTATGGCTATAAGATAATTCTGCATAGGTGCTTTTAACGCCTTGCTACACTTAGTATGATAAAAACATTTAAATCTTTACATATAACATTGGTATTAAAGATTAAAAATATCTTGATTTCTGACTATAAAACTATACTTTTAACTTACTTCATAAAGTGTTAAGTAAATAGTATTATCATAATTCCTCTTTACTAAATTATTAATAATCAAATTTTTAAAATACTAACAAAAATTTTAATATGATTTTTAAAAATACTTATCACAACCATTATCTTGAGAATAACAAAGAAAAAAAGACACAAACCTGGGTGGCCTTTTCCAACTGCAATTTAAGATCTGTTAGTTCCATATTTGTATCATGTAGCTGTGCCTTCAGCTTTTCATTTTCAGCTAAAATTTGTTCATAAAGCTGTCAAAATTAGGAGAGAAGAATGAATTTTCTGCTCTCTTAATATTTTAAGGAGGAATTCTAAATAGTTCATAATATTAAAACTGAAAGATTAATGAAACATGCACTATCAAGAATATATATATTAATAATGTTTTGTAGTTGCAAGGTAGAGACTGATAGTTGTGTCAGCTGTTGTAGTCCAGGAAGTACACACAAATTATCCCAGCATTTAAAATGTGAAACTTTACGCAAACAAATTGGACTTTGCAGCTTCTCTTAAAACGATTCAGTTATCAAATGATTCAGTTATCTGATAAAGTGGGACCATGTATCTATCTACACAGCAGCTATAGCCAAGGAGTCACTGTGATGCTTATTTGGAGAACATGAGCTTTTCTGCCTATCATTTCCTCTTGAATTTCCAAAAATGAAATAGTGGCATTCATCACATTACTTTCATCACTTATGGTAAAGTTAAAAGCTAAGGGAAGTATTTCTTACATATTATAATCTAGGACACCCCTTTTCTGATGATACTGTCCTATTTGCCACACTTGACTCTAACTCCCCTGACCTTCCATACTACTGTCATGGTAATTCTTGTAAGCAACTCTTATCTGGGATGTTCTAATAACAGAATTTTTCCCTGTTCTTCTGTTGTTTTACATAAAGTAGCATGTACTTTTTTTAATTTTAAAGAGAATAAAAAACCAAAAACCAGAAAACAATAAAAACCACACAAAATTTCAGAACAAGATGACCGGAAATTAACAATGGTTATTATATTACATATTGTTATCTTCAAAGTAGCTGCTCAGATTACCAGATATAGGCATGTAAGACTGATCAAACAATATAAACAGTGACTGTTTCTTTCAATAAACAGAAATCAGTAGCACAGCTAGCTTACTAGCTAGCTTTTAAAAGCCCATCTCTCTCTCTCTTCTCTCTCTCTCATACATACACACACACATATATATCTATATATCTATATATCTCCCACTTTTTCACATGCCAGGTGTTCTTGTCAATCCCCACAAATTGAAGACACCTGAATAGCTTCCCAATTTTTTTCACATATGGGTATCTTTAAAGTGTCTGTAAAAGGAACTACAGGCTGTGGTTCCAGTATTCACCAAAACTTCAATTACTGCAATGCACTGTATACCCGTCTGGCACCAGGTCTATGTGCTTTAAGCTAAATCCACCTAGAACATCTTTCTGTTCCACTTTTGGCAGCTCATAATTAATCACCCTTTTGGTGTTAGCTAAAGCCTTACTTTTTTAGAAAATATATTCACAGGAACCATCACTTTCTTTTGTTATTTACTTTCATGAAATTGTATCTTTATAATGTTAAAATTATAATACATTAGTTTGCTAAAGCTTGTTTTTCCCACTACATGGAAGATGCTCATGAGACCAGGACAATACATCCATCTTCACTTGTTCATGAATACAATCTCATAAGGCAACGCATTTCAGTACCTTATTCTATACTCAGTAAATACCTGTGGTGCAAGATGAGTCCCTCCCTTCCAGTTACTGACCTAGCTAATCGGAAACATTACAATTCAAATAGTTGCCAGATGTCAAGAGAAACATAAAAATGCTACACCCCTTTTCAGCAAACTTCAATATTATAAACTCACAATGCAATTTTTAAAAAAATTATTATTTAAGACCTTTATTATCAGGGGCTTGCAGTTTGCTGACTTTTTGAAAAAATCAAGTTGTAAACTTTTATTACAAATTAAAAATGAATGGACAGGACATCATGTCTGTATCTTGTACTATGAATGACCACTACAAAGACAACAATATGCAATGTATTAATTATTAAAACTGTCTTACTAATCGGTTTTGAAACTATTTCACTGCTATTTCTCAATAAATTTAAAAAAATTAAAAATGAAGCACATTTGTTTTTTTTTTGGTGGGACCGGGGATTGAACTCAGGCCCTCGCGCTTGACATGGAAGTGCTTATTAACCTGAGCCATCTCCCCAGCCCAAAAATAAAGTTCTTAAAAATCTCAACTTGATCAGATATGAAAACAATTTAAAACCTTTAAAGGTGTATTGAGAAAAACCAGGTTTTAAAAAACACGTTTGTCATTACCAAAAAGAGGCGTCTTTAGGTAAAAATAATAAAACCCCATGCTGCACAGATAATGCAGACAGTTCTAGTTATCTGGTCAATGGACAAAAAGCTAGCACTTAAGGTCTTCAGTTCCAATCTTTGTTCAGTTCTTATTGCTGGAATTTTCTATTCATTTCTTTCTTGCTGGATGACTAAACCCATGATGGTAGTAGAGATGTTAAGCTAGCGGTTACTCAGCCCCGCCCTGCTCAGCCTCTGGAGCAGGGAATTCTCAGCTGGTGGATCGGCTGCTTCTTTCTCTTTGCCATCTTGTGGTTTAGGGTTTTCTGGGCTTCTGCGTCGGTAATTGCCAGGGTACTGGTGTTGAGGTGGCTGCTGACCTTGGGTCTCCTTGATTTTCCTATCTTCTTCATTGCCATCCTCTCTAGGCTGTCTGGGGAGGAGGGCCCCTGCGGAATCATGATCCATAGCCTCGATATATATTCTGTCTCCCTTGTCTACCTCGTTCTCCTGCACCCTGGTTGTCAGCACCCTCCAGCATTTCTCCTTGCACAGGAGAGTAGGAATACTGTGGTCAACGCCCACCGGGTCTCCACATGTAGTAAGGTGGGCACCTTTGCCTGCGGTAGGGCCAGCTTGGCTGGGCCTGGCCTTCAGAAGCACTTTCCGATCCCCCAATTCTTTTCCCCACTCTCGCTATTCTGGTAATTCTGCTAGTAATTGCATGGAGGATCCCTACTACATGGATAGCATCTATGATGGTTACAGTCTGCTGTGTATTTACTGCCTGCAGCTGGAGCTCCACCAGGGCCTGTATTCGCTGCCTGCTGCGCCCTCTTCTCCTTCAACAACACCAAACTCGACAGTCTCTCCATCCCCTACACTACGAAAGTCCTTCCCAGGGTTGTTCTTCTTTATGGCAGTCTGGTGTACAAATACATCTTCCTTGGTGTCATTCCTGTTGATGAAGCCGTATCTATTTCTTACATTGAACCATTTTGCTGTTCCCAAAATCTTCATTGCGATGAACTTCTGGTCCCCACAGGCAGGTAAGTGCCTGCCCTGCTGCCCTGCAATGCTGCCCACATTACCCTGCTTGGTGTTCGCAGCACTGAGCGCGGGGGATGGCAGGTAGCTGCTGGGTCTCGGCCTCGCTGCTCAGGGTTGTGGTGATGGTGACTGGGGCCGGCTCCGGCTCCTTTCAGAGTGTGATGGTAACCAGGCCGGTGGAGGCACTGGGGCTGCTCAGGGCTCTGCTCTCAGCTCCCTGTTACCGCTACCGATTGATCAATCGATTGATTGAACTGAAAAGTTGAGGAGGAATGTTTTTTTGGACTGGCTCAGGCTGCCCTAACGGTAGGTCTGGGGATTGAACCGCAGTATCCTATACTGCACCGGAGTGCGTTTGCATAAGCAGGCATTTAAACAATGGAGCTAACCTGCAGGCCCCTCACGATGAAAAGATTAATAATACTCAGTTGGCAGTGTTTCTAGGATTTCTTAATTACTATACTTTCATCCTTAATCTTTAATAGCACCTGAGTTATCATAGGTTTTTCAATTACTTAGGAAAACTATACTGAACTTTAAAAAGCTACATTTGCTTCTGCCTTCTATTAACAAAGAAAAAAATGTGTGTAATGTCACACATACAACTGAACACTCCCTTTTAGTTCAATCACACTAATAAACTGAAACATTTAAATCTGCAAAGTCTCAATTACTTTTCCTTTTAAAACAGGTATTCACATTCTATACATTATTTCTCAAAAATTAAATATGCAAATGAATTTCAAGATACTGATCTCCTTGTGAGCTCATCAAAATAAAGTAACCCAACACAAAAGATAAGACTAAATGTAACTGAATGATCCAAGTACCTTTTTAAAGTCTGTAGAATCGTCCTTTTCTAGCCTGCTACTATAAGGTTTTCTTTCTTCTAAATAACTGTATGATCCAGAGCGACCCGGCAAGGTATCACACCGATCACTAGTTGATGTAGAAGTGGTGTCATATCTTCAAAAGATGAGTTTAAATCAAAAGCTTTATTACAGGCTTCCACAAATTACATTTATACATACTGTAGTATATATTTACTTGACAACCAAAACAATAACAGTATCCCTTACTTGTTATCTAATCAATTTTTGTGATACATAACAAATGGGAAATTAATTTTAACACTGACTTTCACAGTATGAAGAGATTCAAAATTTCTTTAGTTTCATATTATGATACATTATTTTAAGTTTTAAATTACATATTATTTTCTCACATTTTTACAACTCTGATATGAGAAACTGGATGATTATAAAGGATGGCATATTATCATTTAACTGGTAGCACCTTTTCTTTTTTCAGTAGTATACAGTGGTGTTTTATAATTAGTGCCATTTTAGACTTCGCTGAAATACAGAATATCCAAAATGTTAGTGGGCTGGTCCTAAGCAGGAAGAATTTTTTTTAGTTAATTATTTTTATTTAAAAAAAATCTGTGGCCAGCCCAGCCCAGCCTGGGGGTGGGGCCTGCGGAGCATGGGATGCTGAGGATCGAATCACGGGTCCCTGTGCTTGTGTAAGCTTGCCTAAGCAGGTGCTTTAGACTGCTGAGCTATCTTGCCAGCAGCTACAGGAAGACTCTTTCTTATTTGTAAATGTGAATTATTTTTTCTATCTGGTTCTGAATTTAGGTTACTATTTTTGGAAAATGCTTGGCTCTGTATGTCAATTCAACAGAATCATTAGTACTGTATATAGATATATTCTTCATCTTACAGGGCTTTGGTTAACAACTATGAATAAGAGAAATTCACTTTTCTTTATCTAAAGAGCTAAGGTAAAAGATGCTGAATACTTGATCAAGTAAATTTCTGACCAAATATGGATAGAATCAGTCCCTGATGTTAATGAGACACTCAATGATAGAATAGCTTAGAAAACTGGAAAAAGTATCACTGTTATAGAGATTTGGGAACAAATTTTCTTCTTTAATAGTAATCTAAATTTCTATAGGCTTTTATAATACAGTAATTCTAAAAATGTACAAAATCCATTAATACTTAGCAAAATTTTAGTAAAGAAAAAAGAAAAATAATCAGTAAAAAAAAAAAGTGAAACATACCTAGAAATGGAATCCGTCTAGAAAGAAAAGACATAATAAATGTTATGCTGCCATTAAGCTATTAACTGATAAGCTGATCAAGTAAACTTAATGTAACATTACTCATGTTTCTTACCATGAACTTGCCGCTAGACATGCCAGTTCCATTGAGCAGTTTTGTAACAATGGTAATACAAGTGGGTCTAATCACTTCTATTGTTCTTTTTACTAATAAAGACAATAAAAAGCTACATGATGAGACAGTCATGCATGTACCATTGGTGGTTCCAGCTGCAGTGAGATATAGGAATTATGGCCCTGCCATGAACATGTTAAACTAACTGATCTATTCCCTATGTATGCTTTTACTTTATTGTGGCTATTAAAAAAACTGTAGAATTCTGAATCAATGTAGTTTAAAAAAATGTATAGTACTAAATACTTGGAAATTCATCATTTGACTTCCTATTATTTTTTAATCAGAAGAAATGATAGACTAAGAAATATATCCAATACTTACACTCAGTAATGCAGGAGTGATGTATTTCTATTAAGAAATGTCAAGTTTACCATGTGATATCGCAGAGCAGCCACTTATAGTCATTTTTGTTTTTGAGGCATTAAAAGGAAAATGAATAGCTATTTTATGCAGGACAGTTAACATACATGTTGTTTAAATTTTACTTTGGAAATCTAGCTATACATTTCTTCATGGTTTAGCAATGGGGGGGTAGAGGAAATGAAGATTCTTTAAGTTAATTTCTCAAGCAATTGGTATGCTTGAGAAATTCCTAAATAATAAAAAATAAATAAAATGATTAATAGGATAAAATAGTCTTATGTAAGGTAGCTATTCAGAAATAGTTAATTTTCTGAATTTAGATATTTGTAATTTTCCATTTATTTATCTCTAAATGGACTGTAAAGTTACTAACTTCCTTAAGGACTGTTTAGTCTATTTCAGATTTAAAATGTTTTATTAAAGTCTGTATAAATTTCCTTTGTAAAAATTTGTCTTGCCCCTTCCCCTTGCATTTTTTTATCAATATTTTCTTTTACTATTTTTTAGTTTTATAATAATTAAAAATAAAAAAAATAAACTTGAAATTTCAGTAAAATATTTAGACATGAACATATGTATAAAGCTAATAAAAACACATTTCAGGTTTGTACTTTTTTACTGATTTAAATTTTAAAAAGTAAATGAAAATTCTAGCAGTTATAGAAATTATTCAAATTTTGTGATACCAGTGATTATTTAAACATTTTAAAAACAGGGTAGGGCCAGCGAGGTAGTTCAGTGGTCTAGGCGCCTGCTTGGCAAGTGCAGAGTTGATCTCTGGCACCACGCACTAAGCTGGCCTGCCCTGGGCCCACTGAGCCACCGGCATGGGGCGTGGTGGCGCACATCTGTAAGCCCAGCTCTGGGGAGGCTGAAAATAGGAGGATCACTATGAGTGTGAGCTGCATACTGAGACCCTGCACCAAATACATAAAAATTAAAAAAAAAATGTAAAAACATTTAATAAAATTTACTATTTAAACTATTTTAACTATACAGTTAATATTAACTACATTCACATTTTTGTGCAGCAAATTCCTAGAATTATTTAATCTTGAAAAACTAAACAATACTCAAAAACAAACTATTCTTTCATCAGTACTACCAACTACAACTGTTTGTTTTTGAGCTTTGACTTATTTAGATAACTGAGTAGATTGAATGAATCATACTGTGTTTCTCCTTTTGTGTTTTATTTATTTCACTTACCACATCCTTGTTTTCTATATTTTACAATTTTTTTTGTGGAACCGGGGATTGAACTCAGGCCCTCGCACTTGCCAGGGAAGTGCTTATTCCACTGAGCCATCTCCCCCCGGCCCTATATTTTACATTTTTTCCAATACATGTTTAAAAAAATTTTTGATTATACTGTAAGCTTATATAGAAATATATATAGTTCTACTAATCCTCATATGCCTACCCCCCAGACAACCACTATTAACCTTTTTTTAATCCAAAGCATCTATGTGAATACACAAAATATGGTGTGGTACCTTGGTTCACAGACTTCCTTTATTCTGTGATTTTGGGCAAAGATGGCCAGGTTTGTGTTTGTGTGGGAAAGATGGTCATTTTGTCACCTGATGGAATTTGCAAACAAAAGCATTCATGAACTGAGATACCACTGTACTGATCTATCCACATATATTTTATGTAATTTATTCCCTATCAACAGAAATTTAGTGTCTTGATTAAACTGTATAGAATTACCATTATGAGGTAATAGCAACACTATTTTAGAAAATGCTTGTAAGAATTTTGTTGCTTCCATCTTCCCACAGAGAAGCAGGGGTTGATGTTACTAGTTTTTGAAAGAGAGAAGCATACTTAGTGGGGGAAAGCTCTATTTTAATCTGCTAAGTAAGACCCTGGGTTAGCACCTTAACTTCACTGTAGTTGGTGACATGACACACAGCTCATATTGATAGAAAAATAGCTACAAGAGTTCATTGGTGTGACTTATGTGGTTAAAACCAACCATAATCCCATTTCTATGAGGTAAATTAACTTGAGGATGAGGCTTATAGACAACTATGAGTACAATAAATTATCTTTGTTTAATCCAGCTTGAGTCTTGGCATTTTTGTTCTTTAACTGAAAGAATGGTAGCATGAATCAAGATCTAAAGAATCTTTTATTTAAAATTAAAAACAAGCAAACAAACCTTAAACTGTTGGGAACTAAGAACATTTTTCTTCTTAGATACAACGTCCTAGTTAACTTTAATGTATCTTTGGTATAATTTTTATAATCAAATTTAAACTTAACACATGCTTCAGAGTTACAACTTCGATGCCTGAACTCTTCTCCCTCCCACTGAGGCCTGGGGTGAGATAGATTCTGTGGTAAAGACAGTGGGAAAGCAGTGTCACCTTGGGATGCTCTTATTAATTCTTTCATCTTGTTATCTGTTCATTTAGATGGGAATTCATAAGGTACAAAAGGGAAAGAAAGATGATGAATAAACCAGCTGACAGAATAGGGAAGAGACATATGGTAGGTACACTGGGGGAATATGAATAATTGACAGGCAAAAACGTCTGACATGTGCCTTCCAGCCTCAACCACTGATAGTACATGCATGACTGTCCCCTCTATTAAAAAAAGAAAAAAAAAAAAAAAAAACACCTAATAAAAGCAATTAGATCCGTTTGTACCACCAGCAGCATAAGCAACTCACTGGAAATATACCACTGATGGTTCAAGCTACCTGGCAGCAAGACATGCCAATTATGATCCAATCGTAACCATGTTAAGTGATACAGCTTTTGCTCTGCAATAATTTATCCTCAATACTTATTCATTATAACAAAAACAATTTCATGTGGGCTGGGGAGACAGCTCAGTGGTATAATCGCCTGCCTGGTTTGTGCACGGTCCTGAGTTCAATTCCCAGTTCATTCCTTAATTTGTCTGTCTAGGCATACTTAGCTCTTGAAGTACCTGTTCAGTCACCCTAACACAGGTAGCCTGCTTTTGGTCACTTACACTTTCTTGCTGTTAGTTTTCATGGTTTGATTAAGAAATCCCAAGTCAAAATGAAGATAGCATTAACACGGCCAGAATGCTATTTCAGGCTTGATAGTGGTGACTCACACTGCACCAATCCTTTTTCACATAGCTCCAATCCTATGTGAAAAAGAGCTCCTCTCTCTGGCCAACCAAACGACAGGTTAGGAAAGAAAGGCAAAGGGGAATAAACTTTTACTGCTACCTGCACAACTATACATCAATGCAAATTGCCTTAATTCCTTTGACAGTGCAAAGGAGAAAAGAATGTCTTTTTCAGGAGACTATGATTAGGAATATAAAATAAGTCTCACAGACTCTAAATTTCATTAAAGGCCTTCTTTCTCTAGACCATACTTAAAACTTTGCCTCTATGGGAATAAAATCTGAGCTTACTACTTCTAGATTTCTACCACCTAGTCTCCTTTAGGTATTTTCCTTCCAAGGATGCTAGTCAACATTTTCGCTTTTTCTTTTCAATTCTATAAAGATGAAATAATCAATTACATGTATTTGGAGTATACTCTAATGAATTTTTTTTTTTTTTTTTTAATGAATTCAGAACAGGGTCTACAGGGTGAATGGGGTCTCACTATGTATATTGGACTCATAGTGATTATCCTGCTTTCAGCCTCCCAAGTGCTGGGATTACAGGCATGTGCCACTGCTCCCAGTCTCAGTCACCATCTCAGCATGCCCCGGGGGTGGGGCTGGCTTAGCACGCCAGGATCAAACCCCAGCTGCTTTGCTGCCAAAGCAGGCACTTTAGTCCTCTGAGCTATCTGGCCGGCCCTCCTGATGAGTTTTTGCTTTTATTGTATTTCCATAAAACTACCAGTACAATAAAAAATCTAGAATATTTCTATCTTGTAAAATGTTATCTATCCCTATTTTGTTCTTCTGTCCTTTATCATTTATCCTCACAAGTAGGCTTAAGATGTATAATAACTATTTTGTGTAAGTTAGTACAATTAAACAATAAAAAGTAATCTTTAAAATTACTATTGTTCAGTATAAAATGTTACTTACCTGAGTTTCTTTTTTATTGGAACTCTCTTCTGTATCTGATTGTTGTTCTTGCTCATTTTCATCACTCTAAAACAGATTGTCAATTTATTTTAGAAAAGACACATTTCAAACAGTTGATTTTTAGGAACTTTAGGGCTTTTTTCATTTAAAATGACTTGAGAAAAAGTATTTTTTTTAAATGTTCAAAAAAAAAGTTTTTTTTTTTTTTAAAAAAAGTTTTTTACGTGCAAGTTTTCTACCTTATTAGAACAAAGCCTATTCTGTTGGCCTAGCAAATCTAAAGAGGCTTAGTGTATAGGTGATGATAACTTATCTAACATGTGGTACAAGAAATACATGAATACTGAAAACTAAAAAAATAAGTTTAACATGAGAAGATATTCTACTATACACTATGATACTGTATATACTTCAAAGTCAATGGAAACACTTTTTTTGTCTCTATTATAATAAAGCAGCAAAAAACAATTTCAAGTTAAAAAGCCAAATTTGCTGAAACTTGGCCAAACTTTAGCAACAGTCCTATTATATTTAGGTGAAATCCTCTGTAGAAATTGCTAAGCACTTAGAGTACATGGGATAGAAAATTAGGACACATCTAGAATCCTAGCCTATGAGAATACTCTACTAAAAGGCCTTAAAAATATCAACAAGCTTTAAATGGTTCAAGAATAGAAAAGAAAAGCTTGTGTTCCAATATCTGGCTTAAGGTCACTGTTGAACTACTAAGGGTTTTAAACTAAGTAAATCTAGTTTAGTATTAGTACAGTTATTTTTACTGTGTGACTTAAACTATTTTAACTTTTTGAGCCATTGTTATCCATAAGCTGAGGAGGAAACTACAGTATTTTGTTCTATGGAATAGAAAGACTTTGTACAAGATAACAGTTTGCTACCTAGCAACAATGTTATGGAAGTTAAATTGCAAAAAGGAACTTAACACTAAAATAGAGCTACCCAGCTACATACCGTTTCTTTCACTAAGCCCTTTGTTCCTTTTGTATGTTTTTTGTTATACGTTTAAACATGAGGTATTTTATCTTTTTGTTACAGTCCTGTGTCTTTTTTTTTTTTTGGCGGAACCAAGGATTGAACTCGGGCCTTTGCACTTGCCAGGCAAGCGCTTATTCTACTGAGCTGTCTCCCTGGCCCCTTCAGTCCTGTGTCTTGATGGCTCAGTTAGTGACTTAAACTAAAAACATGGATGTTCTACTATGGATCTAAGGAAGGATCTTTACAATGCTTGTCAAATGCACAATTTCATAAGGTGGATTTCTGAATGAAGATTTGGTTAGAATAAAACAAAAAATTTGTAACAACAACTTTGCCTATGAAATTCCCAACACATGAGTTATCAATAATTTTAAGCAGCAAGACCTACTAAACATTAGGATGTGAAGTCTAAAGTTTTATTTTACTAACACTTTGTCCAAAAAATAATGAACCTGAGTCTGATTAATCCCACTACCAGTTTACAGAAAACATTAAAAAAGGGAATGTGTTAACCATCCTTCATAGGAATAACTTAGTTCCTCTAAAAATAATTGCAAAAAAATTAGATGAAAGGAGAACCTTACTGATTGAGGGATTTCAAAGAAATAACCAATCTCAATGTATGATCCCTACTTAGATCCTAACGAGAAGCTAAAACTTGGGTAGAGGGAATTTAGCCAAAACAGTAGGTACTTGGGATAGGATCATTGTACTACTCTTTAACTTTTGTAGCCACATACAATGCTGATTCATCAAGTCTAATAAAAGGGCAGGAGGACTGCAAGTTCAAGTCCTGCCTGGGGGAATTTAGTGAGATGCAGTCTCAGAATTAAAAAAAAAAAGCTGAGGTGATAACTCAGTGGCATAAGCAGCTGTCTGGCAAACTCAAGGTCCTAAGTTTGATTCCTGGTACCAGACACACACACACACACAAACAATAATAAAATAAATAAATAAATGAAAGATGGGGCTGTAGCTAGGTAGGTAGGTAGACTAGTTCTTGCTTGGCAAGCACAGGCCCTAAGTTCGATTTTAGGTACAAAAACAAAAACAAAAACAAAAACAAAAGATTCTGGATGGCTTTGAAAATGAGGATGATTAGAATTCAAAGAAAAAGAATATGTGAGTGTCTGCATTGCTGCTTTTAGGCCAATTCCTTATGCTAGACATTTAGAAATTATGTTTCACTGTACATGGCATGCTTCAACAGGACTCTTAATTTAAAAAGGGGGAAAAAATCTAGAAGCTAAAAAAGAAAAGACCAATTATGCTTCTCTTCCCTTGTTACATGTTATTTTGAAAATTGTAATTTCATTAGCAAAACATTGTTTCTACCCAGCATTCCTCCAGAGGCAGACAATTCCCTTATGTAGATCTTACATTACTTGCGATAATGAAATCAAATGTAAAACATCTTTCTCTCAAGAAATCTCTAAGATAAACACTTTAGCCATTATAAGATAATCAGTGTATGTCTTCTAAGCAGCAGACAATTCTAATTTTTATTCTAAAACTGGGGCAGAATTCCTTCCAAATTTTAAATTCCTTTCAATGCCAAAAAACTAATAATTATTACCTATCTTTATAAAGGACTTCCATTTAACAACCAATTAAGAAAACATGATGATTTAAATAAATCATCTAAAATGTATAATAAATTATCAGTATGCGCTTTTGGAAACATTAGTTTTATGGCTTATGTCTACATTTCTCCCCAAAGCTGCATTCAGCTGCTTTGCAGAGTAGCTGATCTAATGTACGATGCTGAGATTTAGGGTGTGTGATTAGTAAATCAGTGCACTGACTCGTTTGCCATAGTTCTAGCTAGGATTAGGGGAATAAGTGCTATACCTGTCCTAGGGCAGGCAGCCTGCCAACAATATAAGAGAGAGAAGGAGTCCTGTTTCTCTTCCTTGTTACCTTCACTATCTTGTGGGAGCCATGAACTGCTCTCCTCTGTGATGGCCCTCTGTCAAGCCACCCTGTTCTACAAACCATGAGCCAAATAAACCTTTTCTCCTTTAACTTTGGGTGGCAGTTATTTTGTTTCAACAATATGAAAAGTAATTAAGACAATTAGGTATTCTATAAAGTAATTTCAGCAGGTTCTCACATCTTGTGTCCAAAAGGAAACTCCTGTAGATCTTCTTTTCTCTCTGGGTCGCCGTCGTTCTCTGATGGATTTAGGTTGTGATTTATCTTCACCTTCTTTTTCTTCTTCTTTTTTTTCTCCCTCTGTTAAGGATTATTAATACACCACAATAACAATATATCCTGACAGAATTTTAAAAACTATGTATGTGAAAACAACTCCAAATAAGCTTCCTTTGTGAAGCTTTCTAAATTTCTCCAATCAGAATTTTTGGCGTCTTACAGTGTTCCTATATTTTTTATGAATGCACATCTTTATCTCCCATTAAGATATATTGTTAAGAATCATAAAAACTAATAATCTCCCTTTTCCTAACATCTAAAATGAAAATTCTGCTCAAAAGATATATTTGTTGAACTGAAAACAATGGAATCCTGTAAGAAGGACAGGGTTCTAGTTATTAATGTATGATACAGATAGTTATGATACCTAAATCTGACCCTCTGGTGCTTAATTTTTGGCTTGCCTGGGCCAAAGTGAGTGAAGAGGAACTGTCTTGAACATGTATAATATAAGCAAAGTAGTTTATGTAAGTGCAGAACTACTTTTTTTTTGGCTAATGGCATGTGGGCCAGATTAGAGAAACCTACAACAGGCAGGAGAAACCAACCTACAACCATCTTAATGATGGGACATGTAGTAGGAATCGTATACACTTATTAGTTTCTACTACTATTACTACTACTACTTCTCCTTTCTTTCATTTTTAAGACAGAGTCTCACTATGTAGTTGAGACTGGCCTTGAACTCACTAAGTAGCCCAGGCTGGCCTCAAACTGAAGTGATCCTCCTGCCTCTGCCACCAGGCCAGGCTCGTAAGTTTCTACTTCCTTTGTCTGTCCTTATTTTAGGAAAAATACATACTTCTTTCATTTCTATCAAAAATATCTAAGATCAAACTCTTGCGGAAAATATCATTTACTAAAAACGAATCAACATAAAAATGTTACTCTTAAGATTTCTGTTTCCTCCCTGCAACAGTTGAAATGGCTTTAGGCTCATATACTATTAAGAATACTAGGGTTTTTTGGTTTTTTTTTTTTGCAGAACGGGGGATTGAACTCAGGCCCTTGCACTTGCCAGGGAAGTGTTTATTCCACTGAGCCATCTCCCTGGCCCCCTCGGGTTTTTAAGTATACTAAAAAATAGACATATGTAGAACAAAGGTGATTTTTAAATGACTACTAGCAGAGTCATGGGAAAAGACCCCCAAAAATTAAGTTTTAAGAGAAACTTAAAGCTGTTTTAGAATTAGTTTAGAATAAGCCAGGGTGAGATGATGTTTAGATTGTTTGGTTTAGTCGTCCTGGAATTGCATCTGTTTTTAACCGTAAAGATGAATAGCTTATGAATGAAGAACATCTTTTGATGAAATTAATATATGCACTGGTATCTCTATTGGAAGAACAACTCGATTGTCAACTTCAAGGAGTCAAAGTTCACCTGGTGTTAAATCTGTTGTAGGAATTACATATAAATTGAAGTATAATTCTTTGTAATCCGTGTATTCATAACTTCAGTATCCTTGATGCCCTATAGTTTTTACTGTTAATGAGGGGTTATTAACTTCATCTATTATGTAAAGGCCTAAAAATCCAATGCTATAGTGGCTATCCAGATATATACATGGGTAGAATGGCCCAGCAGGGCACCATCCAGGGGAAAGAATAACTGTTGTTACTTAGTTCCAGCCAACTGTTGAAATAAAGAATTCAGATATAGTTTTGACAATTTTTAAGCTTCTTAAGAAAGCTAAAAATCTGAATTTTATGTGAAATTTTCCTAAATTTAAACGTGGCCCATAGTTTACAAACCCTATATGGGCCTCACACACAAGAACTGAAACATCTTAATGACCAACAGAAGAAAATCTAGCTGGAAATCCAGAAAAAAAATTCTGATGCTTATTCTATATGATTACTGGTAAAAATAATGACTAATACTATGAGAGATAGCTTTTAAATATAAAATGGAATCATTTTATTTAGCATTCCTCTTTGATATGAAAAAGAAATTAATTAGACCTTTCAATAAGAAGCTGAATAAAATAAGAACTAACTAGAATCCTGATAGGAAGTTTATATTAACAGAAAGTTTTGGGCTGGGATATAGCTCAGTAGCATAAGCCTCTGCCTAGCAAGTGCAAAGTCCCGAGTTCAATCCCTGAAACTGAAAAAAGAAGTAGTAACAGGTCCATTCATGTGCCAACTATACCTAAGAAATCTTAATTTTCTTTTTCTTGAGACAGAGTCTCATTATGCAGTTCAGGCTGGTCCTATGCTCACTTTTGTAGCCCCCAAGTTGATCTCAAACTCATAGGATCCTCTGGTCTCAACCCTACCAGTGCTGAGATTACAGGTGTGTGCGACAACACCCAGTTAGAAGGATCCACACTGGAACATTGTGCCAGGTATGTGCTTATGCCTCTGAGCTATCTTCCCAACCCCAGAAATCTAATTTTCAAGAAGCATAAACATTTTTTTTTCTTAGTAAGAACATTACACATTTCCCAATCGTCTCCCCAAAATAATGGAAAAAGATGATCTGCATAAGAAGTAGTTTAAAGCCCCTGAAAAGTACTACAATAAAAGCCAATCTTAGTACTAGTTGTTCACCAGCGCATGTAAATCCCCTTTCTCATAGCAGGACATAAAGGCCTTTGTGAATTATTAGGTCACAAAGTTGTATGGATCAACTCCAGACCCCCCTCTCCCCACCGTCTGTCTAGTCTTTTTGAGACAGGGTCTCACTATACAGTTCAGGCTGGCCTTGAGCTCACTTTGTATTCGAGACCTGAACTTGCAACAGTCTGTCTTGGCCTCCTGAGTGCTGGGTTTACAGGTGCGTACCACCATGCCTGGTTTCTATTTATTTTTGTTTTCTACTTTTTTCATTTTCAGTCTCACACTCTTTCTGTTTGGGCCAAGTAAGTCATAATTTAGAATGTTATTCTTTTAGTTGCACTGTTAGGAAAAGCCAAGGAATTTCTTGAAGGCAATAGAGTGTTTTCAAAATTGCTCTTACCTCTTTCATTTTCTTTTGTTAGTCCTCTGGAGTAAGCAGAAGTTATCCCTACAAGACTGTTTGGCCTGTTCAGCTGATTTGAAGCACAGAGGGAACTGCTCATAGTGGAAAGTGAAGATGATGAAGAGGCAGAACTTGAAGTTGATACCGGTCTATATCGTGGATAAGTCTGTGAAACATTAAAATTAAAACCCACTTGAGTATTAATCAATAAAGACATACAGAATACTTCAAAATTCATTTCAATGAAAAGTAATGTTCTAATATTAAAGTAATTAAAATTTCCAGCTAAAATAATTTCATGTTTTATGTAGTTTTGTTGATAATATAAATCTCTTGTGTATTTAGAGCCACACATCAATTTATATCATTTGACCAAACTGTATTACTAACACACTATTACCTCATCATACGTTCTAGAATACTTTTGTTTATATTCATCTTCTCTAGATGCTTCTGACTCCTTCTTTTCTTCTTGTTTCTCTTTATCTTGTTTTTCTTTTTCCTCTTTTTCTTTTTCTTCGTTTTCTTGTTCTCTGGTTCTGGTAGAACGACTTCTTCCTATTGTTTTTTCAGCTTCTTGAAGATCAGTCAGTGTCACTCCCTACACACAAAAGAGGATAAATTTAATTATGAGGTACATTAACACTTGTTTCAAAATAGTATTTTAGAAACATATATTAAATATGAATGATCAAAGTCAAATATGTATGTTTTCTATTGGTTCATAGAATAAACTTTTTACCCCGCAGATTACAGTACATTAACTTTATGAAGAATCACCATGAGTGAACACAATGTTAGGTTCTGTGGAAGCTATCAATATGGATGAGGAACTGTTCCCATATTCATAAATTAACAAAATTCTATAAGAGAGAGAAATACCATGTGAACATAAAAGTTCCTAAATTCAGAGATGGGACAAAACCCAAATAGATACACTGTTTACATATTTACTATATACATTATTATTTGTATATTTTTATATTATGAATCACTCTTAAGGCTTAACAGAACCTTTAATAAAGAAATAATTTTTTATCTCTGAAGAACAGGTTAGATTTCAAGAAGTAAACAGCTCAGGAAGAGAAAAAAGAGGCCAGGTGCAGTGGTGTGTGGCTGTAATTCAAGCACTTTGGAGGCTGAGATGAGGATGGCCACAAGTTTGAAGCCAACCTAGACCACACAGTGAATTCAAGGACAGGCTAGAATATACAAAAAGACCCTGTTTCAACTCCATTAGTTCCTTTAAAAAAAAAAAAAAAGACAGATAACGAATGTTAATTTTAAGTTCAACCAACAGCTCAGTTTGAAAGCTAAATAGTACTAAGGCTCAAATAGTTGAATCTGTCTTGTAGAATTCCTGACCTGTAGGGTAGGAAAGACACAGGAAAGCATATCATGTATATGCTAAGTATAGCACCAAGGAAGAAAATGCTAATAACTAGCCTGAGAGACGTTTTCTCATATTTGCATATTAACTGATATATAACTAATAGGAGGCATATGCCTTACGCAATCCCGCCTCCAAATATTCACATAATTCTTTAATCATTATTAGATATCATAGAAGATTAATTCATTCTAACACTAATCAAATACTCCACTAGACATTAAACCAGGAAGGAATGGAGGATGAATAATAAAGCAACACAAAAGCATATAGCTAATTAATGAGCTACAACAGTAACAGTGCTACTATACACAAAGGCTATGAGGATTACCACAGCATTTTTAAAGGTTGATTCAAACTAATGCAGCAACATCTATATTGTTACAAAAATGAAAAAGGCAGTTTTTGCATATGAAGTAAATATAGATGCTTCATATAATTTTCATATAGTATATGCATATACCTGTGTTGATCTTCTAGACTGTCTTGCTTGTCTAGATCTTGCTTTTCTTTGGGATTCAGATTCTTCATCCCGAACAGGAGTGAGGTATGATCTAAAGTAATAAATAAAAAGTTATTTGGAAATATATCTGTGAAGATAAATATGAGTGTGAATGGAGCTTAAATTCATCATTTAATGAGTTTTAAGAAAAATAATCTTCACACAGTCAACCAAATAATTTTAAGAACCACACTTAGAAAAATTCAGAGAATCAAAAATTTAAAATTTTCTCTCTCTTGATAGAGGCAGAAATACTTCATTTAGCAAAACATCAATTTTTCAAAAATGGATAGAGTTAAGTAGTTTGTTTCTAACTTAGGAAAGTCCCTTTTCTTGCCTCAACAAGATCCAAAAAAGTGACAACCCAATCTCATTTAAAAAACTCATTCAATGCTAATTCTCTAGGTCTTTTTTAAACTTCTATTAAAATCTATTCGTTCTATACTTTCAATGACCCATGTCCTATTATTAAAAAGGGGGAGGTTTTGGGGGCCAGGGAGATGGCTCAGAGGAATAAGCGCTTCCCTGGCAAGTACAAGGGCCTGAGTTCAATCCCCAATTCTGCCAAAAAAAAGGGGGGGAGGTTTTAAATTCTCTATCTACAGTTTCTTAAAATTAGAATGCCAAGACTGGGCATGGTGGCATGCTCCTGTATTCCCAGTGCTTGGGAGGCTGAAAACAGGAGTCACTAGAGTTCAATCTGTGCAGTGAGACCCTATTAACCCTGTACAAAACACATTAAAAAAGAATTAAAAATTCAAATGCTAAAATATTAGGTATCAAATTCTTTTCTACATTTCTTACTGTTTAAAGTATCAAATCCTAATTACCTGCCTCCATTTTTGGCCTAATATAACAATCTTAAATGATATGTGAAATTATTTGACCAAAACTCTAGATTGTCAATGTTTTGTCTTAGTCAAATGGTTAAGAATGGATGCAATTCTGGCTATGGATACTGAGTGAGAAAGCAGCATTCTATTCATTCTTTGTCACTGTGCTTTCACTAAAAATAGTTTTGGCAGACATTAAAGTCTTGTTCACACTTTGAACAAGACTGACCAATGCAAAAGGGGTATCATGTACATAAAATAATTAAAGGGCTAAATGGAGATAAGATAAAACCATGCAATACAACTTGAAGATTTTCCTTTATGAATGAGTATTACCTAGGAAATTCAGCTGCTACCTCTATCTTATGTTACCACGTAGCACATATTTCTTCCTAGAGCACTTATAGACATCAACTATCTCTATTTTCTATGTTAAGTTTAACAAGTTTAGTTTATTACACCTGCATGTTTCTCCAATTCCCGAAGTAATGGTCTGGGAGGTTTTCTTTATTTAAATACTAGTTTTTTTTTGGAACCGGGGATTGAACTCAGGTCCTTACACTTGCCAGGGAAGTGCTTACTCCACTGAACCATCTCCCCGGCCCCCTTAAATACTAGTTTTTAAAAGGGTTCTTTTGTCTCTCTGTAATTCATTCTGCTTTTTAATCTCTCTGACACTATTCACTCAAATATAACAAAGTTCTGAATTCATGGTTTTACAATTTTTCTTTTTGTCCTTTAAAAACTTTAAATTCAAGAAATTCAGTAATATGCCTTCAATCTCCCTAGAATTTAGTTTCTGTAGAATTCTTTTCAGAGAGCTCTTCTTTCTTTTATATATCAAGGAGCTTATATTTTTTCCCACTACATCCTTGAACATTGAAATACGTGATTCTAGTATTTACCTCCTTAGATAATGCTATGAAGACAAATTTCTCACTTAAATCCTACTTGATGTAGTTCCATCAGTTAGGTCTGATTAGTTAGAATTACTTTTGGAGACCTGGCTCTCCTTGTTGCTTTCTCTACAATTACCAAGGAACTCTTTCTGGTCGAATAAGTCACGGTACTATCATATGATGAAGGACAAACTGCATTTTTCTTTTTATGTTCTTCATCATGTTTTAAGCTCCACATTGTTAGACTACTGAAAGATTATGTGCTACTGCTTCACAGTAACTCATTTATCTTGCAATGAAGTACACCTTACACCTCTTCCAACATAAGAACCTGGTAAAAGTGTTCTCTTATCAAATTTCTACTAAATTATTGGCACCGATCTAAATTTGTAACGTAACTTTGTTTCTGTGCCCCTTTAACTTGTCCTCCTGCAGTGGAGGTACGGGGGAAAAAATAAATAAAGCAATTCAGCACTTGGTCTTTTCTTGGTCTGACTTTCCTTTAACTTGTCCTCCTGCAGTGGAGGTACGGGGGAAAAATAAATAAAGCAATTCAGCACTTGGTCTTTTCTTGGTCTGACTTTCTCTTGCAATCTCAATTCAATTCTGCTATACAGTTTCACTGCGCCAACGCAGAGGCGAATGAGCACTTCTGGGAAGATCTGTTTCCCTTCCTTCCCTGACATTCCACTAAGCTTCACATTTATATTCTCATTTTTTAATGCTCACTTCTATCAATAATCTTTGAGCTTTTACTTTTGTATTTAACAGACACTTCCTATTTTTAAAACAATTACAATGATTTTGGGGGGACAAATACTTTAAAAGAAGGAAGTCATTAAGAAATCAGTACTCTTGCTAATTAAAGTTTAAAAAACATGCCAGACTGGGTCTGAACTTACGATTCCCCTGGCTCCCAGAGGACTAGGATTAGAAACACGTGCTGTAATGTCCAGCCGTTTTCCTGTTTTTTTGTTTTTTTTTTTTGGTACCGGGGATTGAACTAAGGATTTTGTACTTGTCAGGCATTGAGCTATCTCCCCAGCCTGTTTTCTTTTTGAAAATACAGCTACAAGTTGCTAGGACTGTTGAAAAACCTATTTATCACATCTAGTTTAACATGTGCAGGTCAAGGATAGAAGTTACGAGTTGAGACACTTGTAAAATCTATTCATTTAAATTTCCATATGGTATTTGCACCAAAATAGCATAAAATCTAGGGTACAAATTTGTAGTATTAAAGTATTTCCTATATTTGCTATCTACCACCTGATTTTCAGTTACTGTTATGGTTTGTGTATAGTTGCCCCCCAAAGCCTCATGCAGTCTTGGGGCAGCTTCCGGAGTTTGTGATTGATTATTGTGGGCATGGATGCTGCACCTGCCCTGGGGCAGGTAATCTGCATTACAAAGTAAGGTGGGAAGAAGCTGCTTGAGGTGTTGCTACCCTTCCTTTGCTCTCACTCTTTGCTGCTACCATGAAAGGCTGCCCTCTGCCATGTGCTGCTCTGCCTTGGAGCCAGCTGAGTATGGACGGAAACCTCTAGCAACTGTGAACTACATAAACCTTTCCTTCCTTCAATTTGGGTGTCGGGTATTTGTCCCAGCAATGAGAGAAGAGTAACTCAGACAGTTACTTTCTTCTCCCTTGGTATGCCTATGTAGAGTAGACCTCTAAGTGTAAGATGGAAAGAAGAAAATAATTTATATATTTTCTGTAGTTTTAATTCCTAAGAGGTAGTTGTCAAAAATATGGTTAAGAATATCCCCCAATCCCCAATTCCAGTGTTATCTTAAATATTGCAGTATCATTGTCAAACTGTGCTTGTTCCTCATGATTTATAGAGTATAATTTTATTCACTTTTTCTTAGGTTACTTATTCTTTTGTAAGTAACCTTAAGATTTTTTTACATTAGATTTTTCCTAATAAATCACTCAATTTTATTTCACTGACACTGGCTATTTTTTTACAATGGTTATATTTTTGTTAGTCAACCAAATTACACCTTTATTACACTGAATAACAACCTGTGTTATTTCACACTCAGCATTTTTCCTTTTAGAAAACATTTAAATGAGCAAATGGGGACTGGTTTAACCAAAGGAAAATGGTAGAAGAGAGCAGTCATACTGAAACAGTTCATAGAAACATAAGGTTATTTGTAAAACATTATTCTGAAGTTTAAAAAGACTAGCGAATAACAAGTAGGTAAATAGTGAAATAACGTGATACCGTACTCTACCAATTTATGTCCAGCACCTCCCTACCTTAAAAAAATTTAGTACATTGGAATTCTTAACTAAGAAATATAGGCATTTTTATAATAATCATGATCAACAAACAGGAAAATTCAGAAACTTGGAAATTTAAGTGTGCATAACACAGCAACTTTACACAAAACACAAAAGTGAATACTTATCTAATATCCTAAGTGTGTTGATTTCTTTTTCAGCCACATTATATTATTAAATCATCATATATACATTTTACGGCAAATTTTAACTAGATACATTTCAGTGCCACTGAAATTGTTCGTCTTTTAATTAAAAGACAAACAAGAGGCCAACGGTATATTAAAAATTGCAAACAACTATGTCATATGGAATAAAACACAAATCTTATTATTGCAAACATCACTGAAACAAGACAGAGAAAAATCTTTACAATGTAGAGCAGAGACAATGTCAACAGACACATTTTGTTTCTTATCGATAATTTGCTTTGTAAAAATATACCTCAAGTGTAAGTTTTGATCTTTAATATCTTTCATTAATTAGAACTAGTTCTGAAAGTCAAACTCAATTCTCTCCAAAAGCTGCAAGAAATCACTGAACGGAAAAAGAGAGAGAAAAAAAAAAAAATCACTGAATGGGAAGCACAGTTCAGTGGGGAGGGCTACATCCCCAGCACTATCTATCCCGCACAGAAATTCTGAGAAGTATTCATTAGGCTGTTACTGAAATGGAAAAATTCTTTAATGCATGGGATGCTGGACATAGGATTTTAGAAGTTGAAATATGTACATAAAACATCTTTTTTTTAATAGAAGAAACTATAACTTGGAAATAATTCTAATTTCAAGGATCAAGGATCAAGATACAGCAAAAGGCTGAAATGTAGCATTAATTCCACGACCTAAAAAAATCAAAGCCTGCATTCTTATTCTGAATACTTTGACCAGTTAATGGGTTATTTTGATGTTTGATGTGTACAGTCCTTTAATTTCTGCTGCCTATATTGTCTTGTTGAAAGCATCACAAAAACCTAGAACATTTAAATTTATAGAAAAATAAAATAATTAAAACAATATGAACTACTGGCATTCTACTCACAAAGTGCTAACCACTTGCAATGATGTTATGAACCTATCTCAAAAATTCACTACTGAAATTTAAATCCAACATATAAAGAGCAAAATAAAAAACAGGTAATAGGAAATAGGAAGAGCTTTCCAAATGGAAAGGGGAAACACATACCAGCTCCCCACAAGGAATCAAATCATGTACTACAAATTATACTAATTAAAAAAACTCTGAAAAAAATAATTTTCACATTTTTCATAAAAGACACTAACAAAAAATAGATGCAATGATAAAATATTTTAAGAACTTATTTTTCATATATTCAAACACATTCATTATCTACTATAGCATTTTGATAGACACTGTGGAAATAGAACTCCATATAACACTATCTGACAGAAAGTTAATCAAGTCAGTATTTTCGTAAGGAAAACACTGTATATAGCTCATTTAATTTTGCAAGAATAAAGTCTTTGAGTCTGTTTCTTTCTGTAAAAATATCCCAAAAGATAATGAGCAAGCACTTTCTATATCATTTCGTATTAATAGTTGCAGATGTAAGCAGTGCTATTAACACATAATAAATTCATAATGTTCTTTAAAAAATTCAATTAGTGTTTTCTATGTACTAGAACTAAAACTAAGTAATATACAAGCTACATCTGAATTATCTAGTATGCTCATATGTTTCAACCAAAGAATTCCCCTTCTTTTTCCATCTGTCTTTGTAGAGCTAGGGTCAAACTCAAGCCTCGCATATGCCAGGTAAAAGTACGCTAACCCAGGTATACCCCCCGTCTAAGAAACTTAAAATGAAGCTTTCAAAAACTGTTTAACATCAATCAAATTTCTTTCTTTTTTTTTTTTT